ATTGGGAGTGAGGGTTGGCTGCTCTCCCTGTGTTAGAGTTCAGTCCTTGGGTAGGGGATGTCTGGGTCCTTGTCGAAGTCCCACATTTTAATTTTTCACTGGGCCCTGCAAGTTAAGTAGCCACTCCTTCACAGACACACTCACACAAAGGCTCACCACGATGATCACTGACAAACATTAACCAGAATCACTACCTCAAGACACTTCAATAACTTTGAATGCTATTACCACAACTCCCATAAACAAATGCAAACACAATTTAGACTGAGAAATAATAAACTTTATAATGGATTAATGATTTGCCTACGTTTACAGAATTTCCTTAATACATTTGTTGTTAAGAGGGAAACAATTAAATGCTAGTCAAAATCCCTGAAGATAGTGGGCTGGCAAATAAAATAAGTTAAACACCTTTATAGGGCTCAGTTTCCTAAAAACAGCAGCTAGTGAAAAGCAACTCAATTTATCAATGGAGAAACTGTCAAAATCTGTGTCCCCGCCAAATCTCCTGTTGAGATCTAATCCCCTGTGTTGGAGTTGACCAAATTAGAGATTCTTCATGGCCAACAAAGATTTTGATACCTCTGTGAATATTATTTATTACTGTCATTTCTACTGTTATTATTACATTCTGCATTTGAAAAAAAATATCAGGGTCCATGGATTAATTTCTACCTCTACTGCCCACATGGTTGTATATCCATAACTGCACTTACACTCTTCCTTTTCTCTTTCTTCTTTGTCTTGGGCTTTTCCTCAAGTCTTTATTTCCTCTTCCCTTTGCCGTGTCTTGTTTCCAACACCCAGTGTCATCTATGAATACTGATCAGCATTGCTGCAGGGACTACACTTGGTGAAGATGCCCTGTGCCCCTGTGTTAGGCCATTCTTCATTGCTATAAAGAAATACCTGAAGCTGCGTAATTTATAAAGGAAAGATATTTAATTGGCTCACAGTTCTCCAGGCTATACAGGAAGCATGGCTCTGGCATCCACTTGGTCTCTGGTGAAGCCTCAGGAAACTTACAGCCATGGCAGGAGGGTTTCGAAAGGAGGAACAGTCATCTCACATGGCCAGACCAGGGGCATGAGTGAAGGGGGTAGATATCACACACTTTTAAACGACCAGATCTCCCGTGAACTCACTCCTCATCAAGAGGCTGGCTCCTTAAGCCATTCATGAGAGATCCGCCCCCATGATCCAAACACTTCCCTCAGGCCCCACCTCCAACACAGGGGATTACATTTTACCAGGAGATTTGGTGGGGGCACAGACTTTGAGTTTCTCCAACGATAAATTGAGTTGATTTTTACTAGCTGCTGTTTTTAAAGGTGTTTGAGAAATAATCCATACAATATTTGGCAAGTTCCTTTGAGGACTATCATCTATATATGTGTGGACATTAAGTCTTTGAGGGTTGGCCTTTTTTCCTTTTGATTAAAATGTCCTGCTTGGACTCCTCTTCATTCACTTTGAATCATTCCATTTTGAACCAGGATCGAGTTGGGTGGGCTAAGGCTACATGCAGTTTCGTATCGGGGCCTGACAGGGTGCAGCGGCTGCTCAGGAGTCCGCTAGTTCACACAGTCCATACTTCTGATTCACAGTCAGCCTGGGAGTTGCTGCCAGCCCTAGATCCCCATTTGTGGAGTTCATTGGTCTTTTTCCTTGTCTGTTGTGTGACCCTGCACTCAGAAGACCTCATTCTGCTTGTTTTTGACCATTTCTCCAAGTTGTCAGGGTCTTTTTGAATTATACTCCTGTATTCTAGAGTTCCAGTCAACGTTCTCTGCTGGGTTCGAAGCACAGGCACAATGCCTACGCTCCATGTAAACACATTTTCATGGTGAAAGCTACAACATATTTTAAATTATTATGGTTGTAACATTATATAAAAAAATTAAAAGCATGAAATTATGTAATTGTATTTACATATGACATCTGTCTATATCTATACATAGGAAGATCAAAGGGTACATATATATGTATACTTGTGTATGTAGGATTTATTCTTCTAACTCAAGAAAGCAATCTGATGACGTGACATGTTTCTACTAAACAGCACACATCAAGACATGCTATGCTGCTTCTGTTTATCCCACCTATTGGAGGGTTTAGATTATGTTCTGCACATTGCTGAATCAGACAAATAAGGAATAGATGTTAAATTGAACAACCTACTGCCTACATTCATTGCTTGATGTTTTATTTAGAAAGCCAATTCTCAATGCAAGTCCAAAAAAAAAAGACTGAGAGAAATGAATATCCAGAAATATTCATTTCATTTTTCAGGAAAACAGCATCTCCCCTTCAAGGAACATGAATTGTTCTTTCTCCTTAACTCTTCAGCCAACTCCCTCTGGATCTCAAGTTTGGCTCTATTGCTTGGTGTTTCTTTTTCTTTTTCTTTTTTTTTTTTTTTTTTTCTGTGTGTGCGTGTGTGTAGGGAGGAGAAGCATGTGTCTGAGGTGGCGACAACAGTCGCAGAGCCAGAGCCTTAATCACTGTTTACTGATTTAGTCCATTTTACTAGCAGGCAGTGCTTTTCCAGAGAGCTGTTTTCCTGGCGGGGTGCAACGACTGCTTTCAGGGGCAAAAGTATGTGTCTTGAAGTTGTCTGGCTCACTCTCCCTGGCACTCACTACCTTGTCACCCTTGGCAGGGCCGCTGCACCCAGGCAATGGGCGGGCGTGTCCGCCTCTGCCTCTGACGGTGCTCATCTGGTGGTAGTGTTAATGAGAGCTGGATGAAAGCAGGAGGCAGGGCACAGAGGACCCACCGGGGCGACCAAACAATACCAGAGCCAGCATGTTTCACACTGTGCCTCTGCTCCTGTGGTGAAAAGAATTGAAAATGACAGATCGAGGATTTTGCCTTCCCCTCTGATAGGCTTTTTTGTTTGGTTTGTTTACACTGCTTTGGGGTTGGGTGGCTGCTATTGTTGTTGCTGTCTTTCCTCTCTGCTTTTTCCTTACAATTGTGTACTTGTTACACTTAAAATGGTGGCTTAGAGATGAACAAGAAAAAGGGCCAGTTAGGAATTGTTTGTATTTCTTGAATAGTTTGTCACTTTTAAAAATCTCCATCTCTCTACTCCCATGTGTCATGGTCAACACCTGAACTCCTCCAGTGACTTGCAAATTCAGAGAATTGTGGAGGGGGGCTGACCTGTGAAATTAGGTTTGCCGGACAAAAGATAAGTGGGTGATGTGAGTGTTGGAAAAACTCTGTGGGTATTAGTGTAAGTGTGTGAACATCAAAGGTGTCACATGGCTCTTCTAGGTAACTACTCCCAGGACCAATCAAACGGCTGTAATGCATCCCCATTGGCATATCTCATATTAGAGTCCATTCAGGGCAAGAGGAACATTCATTAGACATAGGGGTCTTCGTTGGTCCCAGTCCTGAGAAAATTCGAGGGCGTGGCTGTAAGCTCGGGGTAGAAGCCAGGACTTTGTCTAAAGGGAAACTTGCCAGCAACATGAATTGCTGACATCACGATAATCCCCAAAATAACAAACTCCCTTCCCTCTCACGCTTCTTACTCTTCTGCTGTCCAGTCCAGATGTTTTGGAGGGTGATTTCCAGTCTTGCGCTTTCTGTATTTTTTTTTTAATTGAAGGAGTTATGTGTGCATCCCCAAAAAAATGTTCAACATTAGATTGAAAAACCATCATTCCATCATTATAACCATTGCAGTCAACCGTAGTGACTGCCATGAGACGCCAAGTGCTTTGAAACTTCCTACACTGGCATCCTCATTCCCCTACAGTCCAGGCTACCCTCCTGCCTGACGATTCACTGAAACTCTCAGTGGTGCCCAGTGGGCCATCATCGTCCTCTTCCTGTCACCTGCATTACCTACCAGAGACTCAGTGCAGTTGAGCCATTTCTCCTTTCCAACACTCTCTTTTCCCATTTAATGATTATTCCTATACTCTCCCAGTCTCCCATAAACTCACAGGACTCAGTGAGATTGGGGAATTATATGAATGTCCATGGAGCATCTTGAAAACATTCGTTGTAAACTGTGCTTGCTATCTTAAAACACTTTCTACATACTTCAAGCATCAGTTTAAGAAAGCGTGCTGCTTTTAATTCAGTAGTATTTATCAGGGCCTATGCTAGAGAAAGATTCCTTTCCAACTTCAATAAAAACCCTCTGATTGCTATATAATCATCATTATTAATATTAATAATAATGCAAATAAAGTGTCCCTAATGCCTTTATAAGTAGCCATCAAATGATGACATTTCTAAGGACTAAGATTTGGAAAATCAGAGAAATGTCTGGTAAAGTGAAGTCTCCAGTTTTGCTTTTAACCCTACTTGTCACCGTCCTTACCTGTGTGAAAGGGAATTGATTTCACGTGTGTTGATATTATGTGCAGTTGACAATCCCCCAGGTGTACATAGGCAGAACCTTTAGTGGCACAGAGACCGATACAGAACTGCATTTTCTACTCTCTGTAATTGTGTAGGTAAGGGATACCACAAAAAGGACTCTGCCCTGCCTGGGATGTTGTTACAGAGATTAACATCTTTGCTGGAAAATTCAAAGCAACGTGGATCTAAAACAAACTGTAAACATATCTCAAAAGTAGACACCTCTAAGTGAAGCATAACAGTCATGTGTGACACTAGTCTGGATTTTTGCAGAAGGACTGAATTATCACAAGAGCGCTCTAGTCTTTACAAATCTCAACAACATCGTCTCAACTTCAAAGTTGTTATTTTCTGTTTTTCAGCTCAAAGTAGATAATATCTGAAATGAGGGAGAGAGAGTGGGAGAGAGAGAGACAGAAATGAAGTGAGAAAAGGAAAGGAGGAGAGATCACCTTTAAAGCTTTTCTTTTCTCTTTCTTTCAAATGACACAATAGAATTTTTTTTTTTTTTCCTAAAGTTGTATTAGGGATTCACTTAAGCAGAAATGAACTGTAATATGCAAATAGTTCTAATTGGACTGCTAATAGAGCGTGTCTCTGTTGTTTTTTTGTAGGGAGTTTTATGCCTATGTAATCAGTGCAGACAGCCGTTAAGTAAATGAAGAGGCAACTAACAATGTCAGAAAAGAGACCGGGCGGTTCCGGCTGACACTACCCTAATCTTCCAGGACCCATTAAATGGCAGTTTCAACGCATTACCTACCATAACATCCTTGAATATCACTGATTTTATTTGCAGTATCAAACATTCCATTTCATGCCCCATTAACAGTGGGAGCCTGAGCTTTTTGACGCAGCTAAACATTTTACTAACTACCTGGACTAAGTAACCAATTAACTTTTGGAGACAATACGGCCAATTAAGCGCGAAAAGGTAAGGCTGTCATCCCCCACGAAAATTGAATTTCCTTTTCCTGATGGCACTTATTGTCGCCGTTCAATTGTTAATGGAGATTCGGTCCCTATTAAAGTATGAAGGCAAAGCGGAATGGAAAAGTTCAGAGGACTTGGTTCCTAAAGAGTAGGTCACAAAGTGTCCCAACTGGCCACTAATTCAGTTAACTTTTCTTCATGCCAGATTACTTATTGGATGCGACTGGAACAGGGCTCTAATATGACATTCTGTGAGAGTACATTGTGCAATCTGGTAGCTTGAGAGGAACCCATAGGCCCAGGGCGGTAGTTTGGGACCCTGTATGGGAGGTTTTTTGGGGGAAAAAAAAGTTATCCATTTTTATTTTTGTTTTTGTTTTTTTTTTGACAGCAGAAATATCAGTGTCCGACAAGATATTGCCCTGGTTATCACTGGCTTGGACTCTTCAGAGAGAAAAACAAATCCATGTATGGAGAGGTGGGCTCCAAATTAACCCTCTGTGGTTTGGGAAGTCATTTTCTAAATGGCAGACAAGGTCTCAGGTGGTGATTCTGCTATGTGGATTTGACTCCAGTTGACTGGAATGGAGCACAAGTAATGAACTTGGATATCACATTTTTGAAAGCTTGAGGCAAATTTTATCCCTTTGGTAGACGTCTTTCATCTTTGAAGGTACAGAAGAAAATTTGTCCTGGAGGGCATCTTCCACAGGCCTTGTATAAGTGAGAAACATGAAGCTGATATAGAGTCAGAAACTAAACACTGAACTCAGATTTATCTATCTGTTAAACACACACACACACACACACACACACACAATCAAACAGCTTTGTGAAAATGCAACTGTTCTCAATAGGAAGAGAAATCAAGAATTTTGAAAAGCAGGTAAAGAATAGACTTCCAATGATGGTCATTTGAATCTGACTTTAATACAAAAATGTTAATGCTTACATATGTAATGTTGTCAAATTATTCCTAGAGCAATACAATTGTTTAACATTTATTTGAAACCTGCTCACATACACTTAAAATCTGATTTGGGCCTGAAAACTCATAAGTAAAGCAGTGATCTAAGTTGTGCTTGAAATTATTAATTTCCTGTATTGTTTAATGGTAGAGGTATTTGATCCCCATAGAACAGCTGTTGAATTGTCATGGGAAAAAAAAAATTCATGTATTCCATTGCTATGTTAGTATTCTTGGTTCATAACTTTTTTATGTTGTTTCTGCCAGATTCTGTGATGATGGAAAGCAGGAACAAAAAGAATTAATGTTATATACTCTCAGGTTTAGATATTTTTTGAAGAATTTGATGAGGATTGTTACTTCCAAAGAAGATTTGAATAAGAAATAGTTCTATGTTAATATGGACCAATTAATAACATTGATTGAAATTTCCTTTTGAAATTTTTCTTGGATTTTAATATCTTTTCTCAAGAGACACAGTTTTCTTTATAGAAGTGATTGCTGTGGGCTATTTATTTTAGCCATTTTCCCATGGCAGTGGATGATTTAAAAATGATTACAATAGTTTGAACTTCCTGTTATTTAAGATAGAGGAGTAAAGCCAGATCTCAAATGCTTCCCACTCCCTCCCCCTGACATCCCTACAAGAGAATAATTAAAACAAACAAGCAATGATAAAACTACATCAGAAGTACTCAAACTGTGGAAAGGGCTGGTGGCCAGAAGCTTCCAATCATCCCCATCACTAAGTAAAGATGGCGGGAGATATTACACCAAGCGCCAAGCGGGAAGGTGCCGCAAAGCCTTAGGGTCAGCTGAGGTGGGCAGAGAGGCATATAGTTTTAGAGAGACCCACATGCGGTTCCTCCCAGCCTTTTGCACAACCAGGGGAGAAGCCAAAAGTCTTTTGCCACTTGAGTTAATAGAAGTGAAAATGAAGAGGAAAGTAAACAATCAGTGCTATCGCTGGTACAAAGTTTCCAGGGGCCCACACTGTACCGCCTACTAGAGTCAAGTAGGTCCCTGAGAAGCCAATCTTGAAAATAGACATTTAACAAGAGGAAAGGGCAGATACTCGTTGTAACCACTGAGGTTGCAGCAAATTCTCAGGCTACCGAAAATTCATCACTCAAGTGTGGCTCTTAGAAGGGGATACAGGAGAGGAGAGGGGAAAGTGACTAATTATATAGCAAAACAAAATAAAACAAAAATCCTGATCAATCAACCAAACTATAAACCATTTAGAAAAAAAATAATGAATTGTTTTTAATCATCTGGGGATGAGTAGATCTTTTTAATAAACACGAAATTCACATACTAGAAAATGCTAGATATATGTGACTAAAAATATTCTGGATAACAAGTACACACCGTCATGTTTAGAAGTCTAAGGAGAGTCAATCCAGGGAAAAAATAATTCATCTTTTCACAAAGGTCTATTATTTTAACTAATAAAAGCTCAAACAAATCAATAAAAAAGATAGAAAACTAGCAATTTACAAAGAAGTAAATACAAATGGCCAATAAATATATTTCGATTCTCAGTTTTACTCAGAATTTTTTAAATTGCAAATTAAAATAACATCAGGTTACCATTTTTTATCTCACTGATGAAACGAATGCTAAGGTTGGTTTCTCCCCAGTGCTGAAGTGGGTGGAGCCAGGCTGCCACTTTCTATATAAACTTTCTGAGTGGCAATTTACTAATGCATTTCCATATTTAAAAAGAGTCCTCTACTAGGAGTGCTATAAGTTACACAAACAGAAATACACAGTTATGCATATACATACATATACATATATTTAACTTTCATATATAATTTAAATATGTGTTATATGTATTATATACATATCAACTTTATTTATCTAAGACTCACATATATTAATTGTATATATATATTTTACAAAAGCATTACAAATAATTTTGGCAATAATCAAAGTATCTGCCAATAAAGGGGTGTTATATTATAATAAAGTCCACTGAATAGAAAGATTGCTAGATACATTAAATAAAAAAATGAAGTGCACAATGATACACTTTTCTGAAAAGAAAGATTGCTGATATGTTAAATTAAAAAAAATCAAGCGCAACAGGATTGTTTTCTGATGTGTACATAATATTTTTTATTGAGTATATATATATTTAGATATGTACACACATATTTTTCATATAGACACAAATTTTTCATGTATATTTATTTCTACTATTATAAATAATATAAACAAATCTATGTATATCTCCATGTGTTTTGCATAATCTAATACATTCACGAATGTTTAGGGCCTCTGGAATAAATCATAAGAAATTATGTATGCTAGTTGCAGTTAAAGTCTGGTGGGGGTTGTTATAAAAAAAGGATGTTACTTTTTACTTTGGATATTCTGAGTTTTTAAGTTATGCACATGTATTGTTTCATATTATAAATTAATATCCACATTGTTAATAAGAGGGCTCAGCTTCTGGGCACATTTTGCTTATTTGACTGTTTTCCTCTTGATATTTTTCACTAGAAACAATCAAAATCACTTTTAAAATAGTTTTTTTCTTGCTCCCTATGTGATTATAGAAAATTTAGAAAACAGGCTTTTCCTATCAGGCTGAGCACAGATAATTTGTGTCTATGGACATTCTGTGAAGGCCCATTGTGTCCAGCAGTGTATTAAAACATAAACATGGCTCTTTCCCCAAGAAACTTACATTTTAGTGAGGGGTATATATATTCCAGTGAAGTGTACAAATGATTATAAAAGGGTGTGTTTAATGATCCTTTAAGGGCACTTACAAGATTTCTATGACAAGATATAAATGAAATGCCTCATCGTGTTTGGGCTTGAATTAATATTTAGCTTTTTGAAATAATATTTTCTGACTAATAAACTAATATAGTGCCCATTTACTAAACTTAGAAAAAATGCAGACAAGTCAAAAAATTCCCAGTTTGAACAGTTTTGTATCTTGCTTTTGCAGTGAACATTTAAAAAAGGAAATTAGGTAAACAGCTAAGCATTCAATGAAGGCTCAGAACTAATATAACTACCACAATTATATCTTTCTCGAGACATTGTATCATAAGCATTTCTTTATGGCAATAAATTATCTTTGAAAGCATAACATATATGATTCAGTGATACAATATAACTTATTTGAACAGTTCGTGGTTGTTGGACAATCATTTTGAACTTTATTTTTTCCCATACATATTTTTAGCTGTGACTTACATAGGCTCTTTAATGACACCCTATGTATATATTGCCATCCTAATGAAGTTGTACCTTTTCTGAGAAGGGAAATTATGAGATGGAGGTGGCCATATGGTGGAACTGGAAGAGGCAATACACTCACAGGCCCCCAGTTACCGTCCATACACTACCTTTGGCTTCCCAAACAAGCCTCCTCCACTTGGGACATTCTGAATCTCCTGAATACACATTCAGGTGGGAAAACCTGCATTATAAAAATAGTGTAAGAACGTGCTCTGAAACCTGAATGTATTAAATCATTAGTTGGATTTTTGTTTGTTTGTTTGTTTGTTTGTCTTAAGACACTTTGGACTGGCAACCATGCACAACGAGGAGAAAGGAGATGAGTTTGCAGGGCCATTCCAGAAATGAGCAGTTAAATAGACATACAGTGGCACGGGCTTGAAGTGAAGTGAACACCATAGGCATAAAAGGGCAGTGAGAGATGTGAACGAGCACTAGGTGGGACCTGTGATTGGCTGGATTGGTCCTAAAGCACAGGGCATGAAGGAAAAGATCTAATGGGACTGCTAAGTGTTAGGGCTGCAAACCTTTATAAGATGATCTTAACAAATAGGGATAAATGAGAAGGGTAAGAGAAGTTAAGAAAGCATTTAATGACAAACACGAAGTCACCAATTATTCAGGTAAGTTGAGTTACAATTTGATATAAGAGGCAGGTGAGTCTCTTAACCATTTTCAGCATCCAAGGTAAATAAATATGACCGTTGTAGTTGAAGCAACTAGAGAGCCAAGGTCTGACATCCCAGATGCCTGCCAGCAGACTTCTAATCTCCATCCAGAGAAAGATGACTGGGCTTAACACAAGTCAATACCTGTGGACAAAGATAGAAAAGAGTCTACATGAATGAAGAGAGCTGTGAACATACTGAAAATTGAGTGAGCCAAGGTCTTTACAGTGAAGTATACTTTACAAGATCCCTCAAAGTTCTGAATATGGGGGTAGGGTTATAGAACCATAGAAAAATGGGAGACATGGAAGGGGAGGTTTAGACATTTTTCTGTTATGAGATTGAATTCATTCAAAGTCACTTAGATTGTAATAATGAGGTTCATTTAAGACCTAGGACTTGCTGAAATAATATGGTTAAAGCCATGAGACATTAAGATTGTACTTGCCATAACAGAACCCGTTTGGGCTATTATTAATCTAATCTCATAAGTGCACATAATACCCAAGCAAGCAAACCAAAGCTTTGAATTCAGTTTACACTAATAGTAAGAATATCTCATGGGCTTTTCACCGGGATTCTCTGTACCATTAAGCAATTACTAGTGGCTAGAACACTACTAGCCCACATGTCGCTATTCTGGTTAGGGGATTTTCTTGCCTGCCTGACTAAATCTTCCAATTAAATGCAATGGTAGTACATTCATTTCAGTTCTTCACTCACAATGCACAGTGGAAAGTATTGTTACTTCAAGTAAACAGCTTTAGGAGCTGTTGAACCACAGACATAGCATTTCTGGTTTTTATCATTCCCGCCAGCGGTAGGATATCATTGTGTAACAAGCAAAGGTGAGGCCTGGAGACAAAGACAGTCTTTTTTATTGATATAGCAACATCTTTTATCAACAAAGTTGCTATATCCAATGACTCCTTTCTTTTTCTGTATCTGTAAGTCAGAGACAGAGTTATGTTTAAATTTGCTCTATTTAAAGTTCGACTGAAATTTAAAGCCCAAGGAAGGTCAAACTAGCATAAAGTCTCTCCTACAGTGTTCCTTAGAAATAAATTAAAATTTATTTTAATTTTTAAATAAAATATTATAATTAACAGTTATTTCAGTTCTAAATACAATCATATGGTAATAATTATTATATTATGTATATGGATTTTTTCAAAAACATGATAGATTTATGCCTAAAAATTAATACATTTAGTGGTGGAACCAATTCTTGAATTAGTTTTAATTATTTACAGTAAAGATTTTTTCATGATGATATATAGGATCAGCGTACAACCTTTCTGTAAATCTTATAAAACAGTAGAGAATGACTATCTCTGAAACATAGTGTAGTGATTAAGCATGCAGGCTATTAAAATAATAATTTCTGAATTCACACCATAATTCTAGCATCAACTAGCTTTGATTAAATTTACTTATCTTGTCAATGCCTCAGATTTATCTGTTTAAAAAAAGCAATAATAGTACTTACCACACAGAGTTATTGTGAGAATTAAATGAAATCCTAAATTATAGAACGTACCATATTAGTTTAATCATTTATAACCAAGTGCACGTTTTTGAACC